ACAAGTGGAGCAATAATTGAAGACAGAATTAAATTTTTGTGTGATCTATCAACCTATGTGTGCTTTCAAAACTGTTGAGAAGCAGTATTTATTGGAGAGCCAAACACTTATCATGCGATGTGTACCTTGGTAAAAAAAAATGCTGTTAAAATCACTGAAGCTGAAAAATGATCATCTTTGTGCTGTTACCTACCTAATGATGAGAGAATTATTAGGAAATATCAACCATTTTCAGCAGTGACTAGACTTCTTGTCAGCTAGCAGTCAAATATGACAAATGTGTGACTTATAAGGTCTTTGAAAAGAATTTCACCATTTTGATAATTTATTGTGTTCATGTACTAATTTTTAATAATGTATCTTTGTTTTAATAATTGGTTGTATTATTTTCTTCTCTCCTTGCATTTCCGTTGCATGCAGACCTTTCTACAATGGAAGAGAGGATACAGAAACGCTTTTACAGCAAACTCACAGAGTTCGTAGCGGACATGACCAAAATCTTCGACAACTGCCGCTACTACAACCCCAGCGACTCGCCTTTTTACCAGTGTGCGGAGTTCCTGGAGTCCTTCTTTGTACAGAAACTCAAAGCTTTCAAAGCAAGCAGGTAATTTCCACTTGTACGCACATATAAAAGAGCTGGATAGAATGGTTTTAAACGTACTTGTACATATGTTCATGTAAGCCTATGGATTTAAGTTGAAAAGGAATTTAGCATCAAGCATCAAAACAGTATAAGAATAATACAGCATTTTGTGTACTTTATAATCTGATTGCATTTATTTTTATCTATTTGTATATGTATATGCTTTGTGTAAATAAAACCAGTTTTGTACTTTTAACATGACTCAAAAACAGATTCAAAAAGATTTCAAAAACAGTGACTCTAATTCATATTTATGTATTTTTGGCAACATATTGTAAATATTCAAAATAACTAAGTTACTGCCCCATTGAATTATTTCAGTAATTTTTTTCAAAATAGTGAACCATCACATATTTGCTAAGCAATTATCGGTTTAATTTGCACTTTAACACAAAAGGCTGCATGTTTCAGTTGGCCCCAGGTAAGAGGGTGCTTTTAGCCATTTGTTTTAGTTTTAGAAATTGTCTACTGTTTAGTTTGCACTAGTGTTTGTCATTTGTCTGTTCCATTGCATTGACTTCCATACATCCAGTTTTATTTTGTGCCTGCCTATCTAGTCTTCATTCACACTATGAATGTTCCTGCATTTAATCTATTTTAGTTTTGACGCAATCATCGTCATCTGTCGTCCGAATTCTCTGACTGGCATTCTATCTTCTTATTTTTCTGTTTTTATTTCAACTGCAGTATGCTAATAACATCACCATTTGTGTTTGTGCTTCATGCATGTCATTCATACGACCCATTATTCTCTCTTGCAGATTGTCTTAAGTCATAGTGGCTGAAGGGGCGGAGTCACTCTTTATTAGCGAATCACGGAACATGCTGTTTTATTAACAGCGGAAACTGGTGTACATTTAAGTGAAACGAGTCGCTCAGTTCGGAGGTTGAGAATCCTGTCAATAAAAGCCAAAAACTCCAGTGAAGCCTTTGACAATCAGAGAGCGGCAGCCATGTTGAAACACTGCGAACACAAAAATCAAGGGAAATGCTGTCTGTGCATATATATGTATGATCCTGTTTTTTTGTTTTGTTTTTTTTTTCATCATAATGTTTGCTGGTCACATGATGTTATTTATGGTGTTTACATGAATGCATGATCATATTTATCACGTGGATTGGCTTGATTAAAAGCATTTTAAGACTTTTCTTTTCAGTTGCATTGTAATGTGCTCGACTTTCAGCTGGTTCGCTCATCTGTTCGGGTTTTCATTGAGAGGTCTAATGAATTTTGTGTAGTTTTCGCAGAAAATTACGCAGTTTCAGTTGGCTTGAATAAAAAAAAAAAGGTTAAAATAGTTTTAATTCCTTTTATTAGGATTTCAATGTTGAAATAAAGGACCATGCTTTATAAACGGTTTAATTTGTATGATTTTATTTTTATTTTGTAAACGTAATCTGACTTCACAACCAATCTAAATGACTGAAAAGGCATTCCCGGTGTATTGTACCAACATGGCTGCCATTCCTTTTACTCCTGAAGCAGTCCCCCCCACTCTCTGTTCCCATGTTGCGGATTTCATATTTGTGGATGTTCAATAAAACCAAAGGGCTTTTAACCTCATTCTCTCTGTATTCTCTAGGTCTCATAACAACAAACTACAGTCATCAGCCTCATAGAATACAACCACATGCTGTTCTAAATAAACTTTGAACATTTAATTCAAGATGGAACTCTTTCCCAGTCAGCCAGCATCGCTCATAGCCACATCGTTTGGTGGAAAATCGGACAGAAAAGCTGTGGGTTTGGATCAGGAATGGACGGTTTACATTTTTGGTTGTTCAAACAATGAGTTTTGACTGGGATGCTGTCCTGGCGGATTTCTTATTGGATTAAACGCCTACAAAAATGTTTTTTTGTGAGTTTTTAAAAACCTTTCGGAATCGCGTTCGCATTATCCAGGACAGCAGGAGTCTATCATGGGTGCACCCGTTGTTTTGTTGTTTTTTTTCTCCTCTCTATTTCATAAGATTCATCATACTACTTCAGAAGTGGAATGTGGGCGCAATGGGCTTATTTGTTTTTAAGCAATGGGGTAGAACAACCTACCTAAAATAAGGAAGCATTGCTTGCGTTGAGGACTGATGAAAGTGCTAGTAGAGAAGGTATCATGTTTGTATAACTTGTCTTTTTTTTTTTTTTTTGTATTACAACTGAAGAAATATTGATGTATATGAAACAAATAAATGGAGGGGACGGGATTCTCTCTTCTACATTGATTAAGATGTCTCTATATTCTTTCCATTTGAAAAGCAGTACCTAATGTAATCCTCAGTAGACCCCCTGAACAATATGCCGATTCATATTTTGGAAAATTCATATTGGATTTCTTTTTAGAATATGGTGTATTCGTGGATAGATTCATGATCTTAACACAACGGTTCATATTTGTGTGTGGGTTGTGTTAAAAGGCGCACAACAAACCACATATTTTCTCATGTTTATAGTTGAGGATATACTAAATACAATAAACTTTTTTTGTTATATTTTTAAGTGCACTTTTTCCATCTTGGTACAGACTTTGTATGGCAATAACCATGTTCATTCTATGATTTTAGGATTATAATATTCTATAAAGTCTTTTTATTTATGTGACTTTCGTATACTTTGCATCATTTGTTTCAAAGCTAGCTGCAATCCCAGATCTATATATTCATAAACTTTAAATAGTAGTTTTAATGAACTGAATTAAATGGGGTGACATGAAGGCTCAGTGGTTAGCTCTGTCCCCTCACAGCAAGAATGTTGCTGGTTCGAGTCCCAGCTGGGTCAGTTGGCATTTCTGTGTGGAGTTTGCATTTTCTCCCCATGTTCGCGTGGGTTTCCTCTGGGTGCTCCGGTTTCCCCCACAGTCCAAAGCCATGCGCTATAGATCAATAAACTAAATGGGCTATATGAACAGCTAGTGTTTTTCAGCCAATGATGAACTTTCAGTGAAAGCTCTATGTGACTATTTTCAATTTTACAGTTTCTTTTACAGCATTAATGTTGTAATTCAGATATAATCAGTTAAATAGCATCCATTTGATTGTAAAAGTGTAAAAAGAGACGAAAAACCGTTTAAACGCAGGTGCCACCATTAGCAGCAGGCTAGCTCAGAAACTCTATTTAAAATACTGAAGTAAAATTAATTTCCATATTTTAAAGACATGGCATGGAAAAATATAGTTTAATGCAGGGCTTCTTGTTTGGTCTGATACCCACTTTTTGTGTCGTATCTCAGGCAAGCAGTGAAGATCGCTGTTTTTTTAATTTTTTTAAAGAAATTAGAAATTTAACTGGCCAATTTTGTATGGACGACAATCTCTGAGGCTGGCTGAATGAAATTAAACGTATGTGTACATTTACCCCATTGGTCGTAGTATTTGAGTGTGTATGGATTTTTCCTAGTACTGGATTGCAGCTCGAAGGGCATCTGCTGTGTAAAACACATGCAGGATAAATTGGCGGTTCATTCCACTGTGGTGACCCCTGATGAATAAAGGGAATAAGCTGAAGGAAAACGAATAAAAATGTCATTAACAATAGGCAAGCTGTGTTACCATCAACGTAAGCTGTTTTTCAAGCCCAAAGAAAGTGTAGTTTCACTTACAAGTTCTACAGTTACATAATTTAAACCGTGAAATGATACATACCTTCCACCAACTTCTATTGTTTATCATTTGTTAGCGTACAATGGTGTATAAATGTTCTGTCTCCATTCAGTAACGTTAAACACGTGGTGTTGTTGCTTCATATCCGTCAATTCTTCACAGAATTTTAAACATCAGAATGCCAAGCGCCATTGACCAATCAGAATTAAACTTAGAGCTCATTTGCCCCTCCCTTAACAGAAAAACATCAAAAAGAGACAGTATATTTTATTAAAAATGAATAATTAAGCTTATCTTACATTTACACAGTCACTGTAGTATTGTTTAAATGTGGGTATAAAACGAAACAAATATTAAATGTGGGTGGAAATGAATCCACAACCTCTCAACAACAACATATGATAAATATATTTACTGAAAGTAAAATAATCCGGCTTTTAAACGTCAACCCAATAAGTCCAACCAGGTATCAGTAACAAAGGGAGACCCAAAATATTCATGTATATTTCTGAAATGTATATTCTGAAAATGTAATGCATTTGTATCTGTTTGAAGGTCATGTATCTTTTTAAAGCCCAAAATATTCAAGTTCATAATCGGCATTCTCAGCAGATCTCGCGATAATGTGTGACCCACGTCTTCACGCCAGCGGTGTGATTTTTCAAAACGGCCCAATAGGAAGATGCTTTTGCTCGAACAGGCCAATCAGATTGTTCAAACCGCGAGTTTAAAGATCTGTGTCATACTTCCTCCTCCACAGTCCTTTGGTTGAAAGTGGTGAGTTCCTACTTTTGCTCGTATTTAAATAGTATGTTAATACCATTATATAAAGATGTATTTATGAAATGTGAATTGATTGTGATGTATTGTTGTTTTATATGTCACGGATATATTTTATTTTCCAGGCTACGACACACTGTGATCAATCAAACTCCATTAAAATGTCTGCTGCAAATGAGAACACCGCTCGACTCACTCAGTTCAAAAACAAAGGAAAAGATGCCACTGTAAGTGACCACTTTGCATTATAGATAACATGCTATAACAGAATAGCATGAAAACAGCATAAAGAGAGTCGAATGTTATTGTTACTTTTTAAATATATCGTATTTCAGATTAGCTTTCATATAAATGTTAAATACTGTAATCTAGGAGCTGAGACGTCGAAGGATCGAAGTCAACGTCGAGCTTCGTAAAGCAAAGAAAGACGAGCAGATTTTGAAGAGGAGAAACGTGAGCAGTTTTCCGGATGAGGCCACCTCTCCTCTCCAAGAGAAAAGCCAGAACTGTCAGGTATGCAGATCAGCCGACTTGCTGCTCAAGATCAGTAAACTCAAGAAATTTCAAATAAGACACTTTGGTTGTTATTACTCTACTTCCCAAATTAGCTGAGCCCCCAAAATGAATACTCTGTCATTTACTCGTCATTTTTAATTTTAACTCTTTCTAAGTTTTGTTGGACACAAAAGTATATATAGTTATTAAGAAGAATAAAGGAAACCTGTAACCTTTGACTTCCATACTAGGAGATACAAATATGGAAGTCAATGGTTAAAGCTATTCCGCTCCCTGTAAAAAAAATAATAATTTGTGTTCATCAGAATATAGAAACTCATAAAGTTTTGAAACCATTTGAGGGTCAGTAGATAATGAGTGTATTTTCATATTGGGGTGAACTATTCCTTTTAAAGATTTAAGGCAAGGCAGGTTTATATAGCACATTTCATACACCGTGGTAGTCCAAAGTGCCTTACTGTACATAAACAGAAATAAAAGAGACAAGAAAATAAAGACCAATAATAAAAGGGATTAATTTTTAAAAAATGTTTTAAGAGTTAAAACAAAAAGACAATAGTGTGATCTGCCAGATGTAGCACAGTGCTTATTCAGTAAAGGCACAGCTAAACCGATGTGCTTTCAGAATAGTTTTGAATGTACCTAATTCGGAGCTTAAATGTTGCTTTAAATATGCAAATGATTTGATTTAAAAATACACTTTTTGCATGTATCTCTACAGCAAAAATGTAAACACTGGTTCAGGTTCAAAAGTTAGTTTCAACTTTTGTTTTTCTGACGCATTAATTCAGAAAATACACCAAAACCGCTAGATATTTTTAATACTTGTAATTTTATTTTTTGAGTAAATATGTATATGTCAAATTTTGTATAAGTGCTTCTCACTGTAAAAAAAATAAAATAAAATAAACTTTAAAATTAGTAAAGTATTTTACAAAAGTACATGAGGCACAAGAAGATAGTTGATGCATATGCACAAGTTTGGCATATGCAAGTGCTGCTGGAATGGATATCCATGGCTTTGTCCTGGATGGGGGAAAATACTTTAGAAATGTATTGCAATTTTAAATCTACAGACATGTGTTGATAACGTGCTAAAATAAACCCTAAAGTGTTTTGGATTTCCTTCTGATACCCTAAAAAATGTAATATGAAAGGCCAAAGGACCAAACTTGCAATATTGAGATGTGCGTTTTTTTTTTTTTTTTCGTTTTTTTTTTTTTTGCCTGTAAGGTCTTGCCTTCAATGTTACACCTCATAAAATCTCCATTCTGTTCATACAGGCACAGCACTGGACAGTGGAGGAGATTGTAAATGGTGTGAATAGTAATAACTTGGAGACTCAAGTCCAGGCCACACAAGCTGCCAGGTAATTCCCAGTAGATTGCTTATACATGTGCAGATAGCTCTATTCATCTCAACTTGTATTTAAGCTTCATTTCTTACACTGACATGCAGGAAGTTGCTGTCAAGAGAGAGACATCCACCTATTGACCGCATAATCAGTGCTGGTCTGATTCCTAAGTTCGTGGGCTTCCTGAGCCTGGTAGACTCTCCTCCTATACAGTTTGAGGCGGCCTGGGCTCTGACCAACATTGCATCTGGAACATCTGACCAGACCAGCGCCGTGGTCCAGGGAGGGGCAATCCCAGCATTCATCAGCCTCATCTCGTCACCACATGCTCATATTAGCGAGCAGGCAGTTTGGGCTCTTGGAAACATCGCTGGTGGGTGCTAAGTAGAATATTTCAGTTAGATCCCTTAATTTTCTTTTTAATGTGGGTGTACAAATTGATTTGTTCTTTTTGTGTTTGTGTGTGTGTAGGTGATGGTTCTGGGTATAGGGATAGAGTCATTAAGCATGGTGCAATCCCCCCCCTCTTGGCTCTGCTGGCTGTTCCTGATTTGTCTGTGTTTCCTGTAAGTTATTTATATAGATGGATTTAAATTGGTTTTAAAGTTATTCTCAGATGGGTGTCCATTGTAATTTGGTAAAAATAATTTTGAGAAATGTATTTATTGCAATATTACAATCTAAGTTGGTTAAAATATTGTTGTTGTTGTTATTATTATTATTATTATTATTATTATTATTATTATACCAAATAATGTGAAGCTGATTTAGACCAATTTACAGATTGAATATCGCAAAAATTTGTCTTTTTATGACTTTTTAAGAAGTTTTAAAAATAACTATTCCTCAGATAATTAAGTATCAAAAACATTTGATAATTAGTGAGGACAACATTTGTAATTAAATAGTGAAAGGCAAATTCCGAATGTTTCAGAATTTGCGCATGAAAATGTAAGAAAACCCCAGACAAATTCATTATATTTTCATGCACAAATTCTGAAACATTTGGAATTTGCCTTTCACTATTTAATTACAATTCTTGTCCTCCGTAATTATCAAATGTTTTTGACCTGATTCTCAAGCAAATAATAAAAATTATCGGTTTAATTAGTTTTGTTCTTGTTTATTTACACTCTAAGCTTAATAGATATTATTATTATTATATTAAATTTATTATAAAGGTATACACTTAAGATTTACTTTAAACCTTGGGCTCTTTTCACAATCCATGCGCAGGGTGCAAACGCATTAGGGCATGTCAGAATCCACTTTTTCTTAAATAATGAGGGAAAAAATCCGCTTTGCGCCATGGCGCATGGTCTGAAAGGGTTCAGCTTATTTTATTAATGAGTTATAGATGTGTTTTGAGAATAAACCAATCAGAGTCTCATCTCTCATTCCCTTTAACAGTGCGTTGCATCGCACCATAGCGCATTTGCTATTTACATGACGTAAGTGGAAAAACTGAGCGTTTCACTAGCAAGAAAACAGTTAAACAGAGCATCTACAGCGCGAGAATGAGAAATGAGCCTCCTTATTAACTTTCACGTTTGTGGATAGGGAAACGTGTCATACGCACCGACATCAATTAGCCTATAAGTAATTAATTTAGTTTAAGCGCAAAGATTAGTTTTAAAACTATTTCTAAAATCTGTTCTAATTTCCAGCAAACAAATAAATGAACAATAATAACGAAGTGTGTTCAAAAACCTGAGTTATATCCTAATACACATGCTACTCCCATATGGTCTGAAACCTGACAGGTGGGCAAATCTAAGCTCGTTTTTAATTAAGCAAATATAAATATGCATATAATACTGCTAAAAATAATACATTATACATTAGCAAATTGTCATGAATGAACTGAAAAAGCCTCCCGGGATGAAGGCATGAAAGTATAGTTTTTATATTAATTTAGGCTTGAAAATAATCTTTTGTAATATTTTTAATCCTTAATATGTATTATATTTTAATTTTTCATATGTAAAGATTTTTGCGTATTGCTCTACATTTTGTGTGTATTAAGCAGTGTGTAAGCGAGGCGCACAACTAACGTGCTCTGCTGGACAATAGACCGGCTTTGTTCAGGTCTATAGAACCGACTATTATAGTTTCTCAAAATAGCAATGCACCTCAACACGCCATCTTTTTTTAGATCAGAACGCCTATGGGCGCACATATGATTGTAAAATAAAATAATTGTGTTTTTTTTTTTTTTTTTTTTTTTACAAATTTGATGACTACAAATTGCTAATTGCAACTTGTAACATTCTCCCTATAAATTTACATTTAGAAAACCTATTAATGTATTACATTTTTTTTTAATCCGTCTATAAGCTTCTACTGGTCCAGAACTCAGCTGCCCACATCATCACTAAACTCTTTTTCACCATATTACCCCCATTTTACAAAATCTGCACTGGCTTCCAATCCAACCTAGAGTCGATTATAAAATCGTCCTGCATACTTTTTAAGGCTATCCATAACCTCACACCAGCTTATTTGTCTGATCTCTTCCATATCATCACTCATTTCTGCTCCCTTAGATCCTTCTCCTCCATACACTCTGTTCCCTCTGCCAAAGCTATTTGGCTATTTGTATTTTATAATCTTCTCTTTTTTTTTTTTTTTTTTTTTTTTAAATATACTGTGGGTTTATTTTTAAATTATTGAATTGTGTATATTTGTTGTACAGTGATCATGGGTTCTTGAAAGGTGTATTGCATAAAACGTATTTAAAATTATTAGCTAAAAAAAATTAAAATAAAGGTTTTTACATGTATTATCTCTAAACCTCAAACAATGTTGTTTTTGGTGTTCAGGACTATTTGTTTTAAACTGTAGTGAGCATGCATTACCGCTAGATGGCGTGAAAGCTGTGTAGAATTACCCTGACCAGCCAGTTTTTCTTCTACAGGCTGGTTACCTGAGGAACGTCACATGGACCTTGTCAAACCTGTGCCGCAATAAGAACCCTGCACCACCTCTGGAGGCTGTGAAACAGATACTACCCACACTCATCTGCCTTCTGCAGCACAGTGACAAAGAAGTGCTTGCGGACACCTGCTGGGCCATCTCTTACCTGACCGACGGGCCCAATGATCGCATTGAGGTTGTGGTGAACGCCGGTGTGGTTCCTCGACTGGTGCAGCTACTGGCATCTGGGGAGCTGTCCATTGTGGTAAGTTGGTGGAAAGTAGTGAACTCTTGAGTTATACGTTTAAAATGGTAAATTTAATAATAACTTTTTTATTTTTTCCTGCCACAGACCCCCTCACTACGTTCTATTGGTAACATTGTCACTGGCACAGATGAACAAACGCAGGCTGTGCTGGAGGCTGGTGCTCTTCCCATGTTCCCAGCTCTGTTGCGCCACCAAAAGAGCAACATTCAGAAGGAGGCGTCCTGGACTCTCTCCAACATCACGGCTGGCAGAGACTATCAGATTCAGGAGGTCATCAATGCTGGCATTGTGCCGTACCTGGTGGAAGTTCTCAGACGAGTATGTCACCACATGAACACAATACAATACTTGTTCATGAAGTTAATTTATTTTCAACTTAATTTTTTCTCTCTCTTGCCTCATGCAGGGTGATTACAAGACCCAGAAGGAGGCTGTTTGGGCAGTGACCAATTATACCAGCGGGGGCACAGTAGAGCAAGTGGTTTACCTAGTTCAAGCCAACGTATTGGAGCCCTTGTTGAACCTGCTCTCCACTAAGGACAGCAAAACTATTCTGGTCATCTTAGATGCCATCACAAATATCTTTTTGGTATGAGTCAATTTTAAGTTGAGGGTAAATGAGTTTTATTGATCTTATTGAAACCAAGTATAGATGATTTTCATCTCGACTGCTACATCTCAAAATAAGGAGTGAATCAGATTTTATTAAATTTTTCTCTAAGAAGTTTGTCACATGTTGCCACTTGTGTGTTCAGTAGCTCTTCTGTCATGTGTGCATTTACAGACCAATTTATTTGCCCTCCTGTGAATTTTATTTATTTTTTAAAATATTTTCTAAGTGATGTTTAACAGACAAGGGCATATTTTTTATTTTTTAAATGCATCCTACTGAGGAAAAAATATAAAGGGAAGTCTTGTTTCTTTTAGTTTGACTGGAATAACAAAAAATACAATTAAACTGTTAACTGGTGAGGTTGATGTAATTGGCCCGACTACTCTAAATCTCTGGATGCTAATCTTGCAAAATGACTAGTGATAATGATGTTTTGTTCTGATATTTAGTTACAATATTATTTGGTATAATCCCCTCTGACCCACACACAGTTATGACTCACTTTGGCTTCGTTATTTCAGATTGACTGAAAGAACTGATTAATCCAATTTTCTAGTCGCATAAATTAAGGAAACATCACAAACTTTCTGTCTGTGCATTTAAAGTTTTACTTAGTAAATGCATTTACTTTGTAGTCTGAGCACATTATTTTTATTCCAATAGTCCATTAATGCAAATAGGTAGATCTGGAACATGACATTATTTTGTTGTTCCTCTGTTAATATAACTTTGTTTTGTTTTTAGGCTGGAGAGAAGATTGGTGAGGTTGAAAAGCTGTGTTTGATGATTGAGGAGTGTGGTGGCCTGGACAAAATCGAAGCTTTGCAGTCTCATGAAAATGAAATGGTTTACAAGGCCTCCCTCAACTTAATTGAAAAATATTTCTCTGGAGAGGTGGGTTGATCAAATTTTGAATCTCTAGTTGCGCATTATGCATTCTTTTTTTGTGTGTGTAGAGTTTTATCAGTCTGCATATTAAAACTCTGAATTATTATACATTCCACAGACGGGATGGGGGGGGGGGGGGGGGGGTAATCTCAACTTTGAAGTTTAGTTTTATCTTTTGCTTTTAATTCTTTCAAGAACTGCTTTTCCTAAATCCCTGATTTCTGTCTTGCAGGAGGAAGAGGATGAATGTGTCGCACCTGAAGCTACAGATGATGGTTATGCATTCCAGATCAACGAAAACCAAAGCACTTTCAACTTCTAAATGTCTGACCTGTGAAATACTTTTGTATGATTGTTCCGATCATTTCTGCACGCCACTTATCTTGTTCATGTTTGTCTCTGTTTGGACCTCGTGCTCCAAGTTGTACATATGAATCTGTCAGTTTTAATTGTTGCAAATAAACCAACCGAAAAAGAACCAAAGTTGTTTTCTTCTATATTCAAGACATGGACTAAATAAAATATGAATAAACAATAAAGAGGAAAGACTGATGTTAACCGCCAAGTGAAATAAGTGTATATCCTACAGCACTATGAATATCAAGTAGGTCTGATGTCACAGTCTGGGCGGTTTAAGCGGCTCCACAGACACCTTGCAAACCACATTTCCTCAAATCGGTCGCCCATAAGCGATACAACTTTTCCCTCAAGGTCTTGGAATGGCAGTAGACGCCGAAAGCTGTTTGTTCGTGGAAAATATGTTAAACTTCGGGAGGTCTCTGTAAGCGGATCTTTTGAGGGGACGTCGTGGATTTACTTTCACAGACGGTAGAAATACGAGGAGCGCGTTAAAGCGTGTGTATGTATGCAGACATGGCAGGGCTGTGCACATCCGGGCCACAGGACCGTGACTCCATTATTTTCTGTTCACTGTGAAACTGGCGTTGAGGGGAACCAAAAAGCAACTCTGTAACACATTCGACCCGTTTTTTGTAGTAGTCAGCCTGGATAAGGGTCAAGGACATGTCTAATCAAGGAGTTAGAAGGAATGGACCCGTTAAGTTGCGTTTAACAGGTAAGGAATATGCGACATCGTACAGTTTCATCTGAAACTGGCTAGCTGGCTAACAGCTATTGCTGTAAGTCATTGTAGTTTTCTGCCTTTTACCGTGAACCTTCGCTTTGAAGAGCTCTGCGAGTGTGTTTATTTGTCAGATTATATGTTTTGGGTTATGGTGATAGTATGACTGAAACTGGCGTTTTGTTGCAGCGTTGCGTTCTTTAGCAGGTTGGACAACGTCATAATGGAGCCTCAATGGAGCGCGAACGCAACAATTACATTTCTTTAGCTTCAATTGTTTACATTCTTTTGGTTGCGTTGTGATTATCGTTTAAATACGCGCAGCTGCTGATGTGGACGATTGGCTTCGCGAAGAATACGGCTTATTGGCATGAATTGAATTCTTAAGCTTGCTTTATGTAGCCCGTTGCCCCAAATGCAAAATGTAAGAAATCACGTTGCTTCAGTCACTGCAATGCTAATCTGCGAGTGTTTATCTCAATTGTGTTTGAAAATGTTTGCACCAATTAGTACTGTAGACTACACTAAATACTACTAACTAGTGAGAATGGATATTACACGTTGCTTTATTAGATGGAAGAGTGCGGCAGAACATGCGTTAATATAGTATTTACCATAGAAAAGTTACACTGTTAAATGTTTATATATATATATATATATATATATATATATATATATATATATATATATATATATATATATATGCATCTGTATGTATATTTGTTACAACAACTTAGCAATAACTATTAATAACAGTCTACTGATTAATGCATGCGTTTAAAGCACGAGTTTGGTTTTTTCAAATTTCATAGTTAACATATTTTTCAGTTGTTTAGTATTATAATTATCCACATGCTTTTATTCGTAATGTTCTTGAACAGACTTTAGCTATTGTCTAAAAGTATTAAAAATAAATGTAAAAATTCTTACATATTCATTATCTGAAACAAAAAAATTACTTGTTTTATAAATTATACAAATCTTCACAATATAGGCAAACTACTACTCGTATACACTTTATCAGTGTGATTTGACTAACAGTAGAAAGACATACTATGATTTATGTTTATGTTAGCTATATATATTTTACAAATATTTCTTTTGTTCACCTGCATGCTAAGTTTAACATGATTTGAAATGCTATTTTATCTGACTTAAATGATTTTATTTTAGCTACACTGAATGGCTGTTACTTTAAAAGATGAGCAATTTATGCAAACATAAAGTAAGTTGTGTTTCCTGTGAGCGCTGCTGTTTCCTGTTAACCTCTCGGTTATGTTGGCCATTGTGCTTTAAGGACCCACCAATTGGCGACGAGACCCAACATTAAAGAACCAAAAAATGTAAATTGAATCAGTTCACGATTATCTAGCCGTCTGCATAAAAGTGTCTGTTCATGACCTCAGGGAATGCATTCCACAATGAAGTGGACTGTGCAGTGAAATCAACCTCCAAGTATGCAGCAGGATGTTGTAGTATTCATCATGACCCAGCACTGTGGTTGTGGGAGGAAGCTGCAGTCTGAGACACTTGAAGATTTGTCTGTGGGGCTCTTGAGATGTCTGGCTCGTGCATACAGAAAGAGCTCATTTTCCTCCCTGGTTGCTGTTGCACCCTTAAATGAGCTATTTTCACTTCGCCGTGGGTTGGAAAGAGGATAAAACTTTTACAATGACTGACCTGCTGTCATCTCTCAGCTTCTTACCAGTTTTCAGTGCTGCACTATATTGGAGATTAGCCTAGTTGCACTACAATGCAACCTTTTTTTCTAATTAAGACATCTTCTTTGGTTAAAACATTTAAATGCTAAAGCTCGTGTTTTAGTAGGATTATGACTTTAGAGTGGCTGATGCATATTTTTGAAGTATGTTAATGTGAATTTCATAAGCCATGCCAAACATTCTGATTTGCTTTGGAAAAGTTATTTTTAGTTTCTTACTTAAAAGTAAGAAATTAAGGTTGATCAGTGTAAATCATTGTAATACTGTTAGCACCAGACTTTGACTGATTTTTATTTACATTTAAATGTAAATGTACAATTTACATTTAGGATCATGGCGCTTAACAGGGTCTTAAGCGTTTTCAAAGAGCTTAGTTTTCGCAGGACAAAGATGCCAAATGTAACCACAACAAAACTTATGTGCAGGACACATGTGCAATCTGGCAGCCCGAAGTCCCAGGGCTATTGTTTTTTCAGTCGGGCTACCAAAATCTACACCGTGCATGGTTTAGATAGATTTTGGTTGTTTGTATTTCAAAGAAACCAAGTGAAACCACAACAAAAATCTGGTGGCGCAAAGTTCCAGGGCTATTGTTTTTTCAGTCTGGCTACCAAAATCTATCTAGATTATGCCCAGTGTAGATTTGGTAGCCCAAAGTCCTGGGGCTCTTGTTTTGTTGCTTTAAATTAAAAGATATCCTCACTAATGGGTGGGGCCTTCCCCCTCTGATGACATGTACAAAGGGAAGTTTTTATAAAGTGTGATTATAAAAAATAGAATTAATTAATTTTCACCTTTAGAAGCTAGCTATATTCCCACACTGTTGCCACAAAACTATTAAATCCCTTTTAAAAAGGATCTTTAAGTTCAACTTGGCAAGTTTATTACTACTCTTGAAACAAATTCAAAACAAACAATTCCAAACAAACCTTTGTCCTGTTAGTCATTATTTACTCAAAGTCCTGTTTAATCGCCGTCTAAGAATGGAAAATAAAAGATTGGACATTCTTCTATAGATGGTTCAAATTATTAAAATTATTTAATTCTTCAAAGATCCACAATGCACAGTAAAACAAGGAGCATTGATGCACTCTCTCTCTCTCTCTTCTTTTAAAGTGCTAAGCATAAACCTCCTGTTGTTTTTAAATATCATTAGTAACATTGTACAAGGTCATGTTGCCAGATATAGGCAGCATTGTCCCATTGTGTAATGAGTGGTCCTTTTAAGTGCTTTAATATGTGTATACTCACAATCAAGGAAACTGATTGAGGCGCACATAGTCAAGTGCACTTTAGCTAGTTCATTTTTGTTTACCAAACCATGTTTAGGATGAAGAAAATCTCATGCTTTCTGACCCTGTCTCAGTCTTGTTATTGCTAGTAGATGACAACATTTCTGCAGTGATCCTCTAGGTCACCTTTATTTGGTTTGAGCGGTTTCAATACAAACAGCTAAACAAACACGAGTGGAAGTTGTGGCAATGACAGTGGCCATGTTTGATGTGCCTCCAGGATCAGCTCTCCGGCAAATTCCAAGTCTTTCCACTCACTGTGAGCAGCCAAATTAAATATTTAAGCTTGCGCTGAGTCTGTTGGAATGACATAGAAAGGACAGGACAATTAAAGCTGTAGTGTTACGTTTACTGCAGCGGAGTGTTTTCAATGTCTGTTTATGATGGTATTAAGCTGATATCATTGCTTATTCATTCATTCATTCATTCATTCATTTTCTTTTTAACCTTTTCCCTTTATTAATCTTGGGTTGCCACAGTGGAATGAATCGCCAACTTATCCAGCATTTGCCCTTCCAGCCCCAACCCGCCACTGGGAAACACCCATACACACTCATTCACACACATACACTATGGGCACGTTTTGCTTACCCAATTCACCTGTATCACATATCTTTGGACTTGTAGGGTAAAACCGAAGCACTTGGGGGAAACCCACTTAAACACAAGAGAGCATGCAAACTCCACACAGAAATGCCAACTGACCCAGCTGAGGCTCGAAATAGTGACCTGCTTGCTGTGAGGCGATCGTGCTATCCACTGCGCCACCGCATGACCTTATCATTGCTTGCTTAGTAATTAATAAATGTATTAATATTAGTTATATATTTCAATAGGACTTTGCAGACAGGAGTGGTGTTGTGGTGAGAGGCGTTTGTTGAGTGCAAATTCAATATAAAAATAAAAACTACAATTAAAAAAAATATATTTAGTTTACAGATCTAATAAAATCGACATCTTTAATCTTGCGTGTTTAAGTCTAGCCCAGTAGTCAAAAGACTTTTAGGTATTAAAAAGTGCAGCCTGGCTGAACATGTAAGTCAGGATATGCCCAAATTAGTATTTTTTTGTCATTATTATGAATTTTTACGTTTTAATACATTCATAATAGCGTTCATGTTTTACCTTAAAAAACCTTCATTAAAATACAAACCGCTGAATTTTGCTATCTATAATCCCTAACAATAATTCTTGCAGTCCCACTACATACTTTCACATCTGTCACCCGATGACAGTGGAATACCCTGTCAGAAAAGTCTAGTGGCTGGGAATGACCTTTTTTTTTATTGGGTCAAAATCTTAAATTTGATTTGACGAAACCTGCAGAAGCCCTGTTCTAGCAAAACGGTAAACTGAAAAAATGCTGGGT